TGCCAGCTCCAGTCTATGCTCTTAGCCTCTCCTGTTGCTAGGCTGTTCTGAACCCTGTGTCTACAGTGACTTTTCTCAATCCTTTATCTGAGCTGTGGTACTCCCATACTCAGCAGGGGATGATGGGAGATGCTAGCATGTGTGCAAGCCAGAGTTGGTTTGAATGTCATCCTGGACATTTCTTTAATTGTGTGAGCTTGGGCAAATTGTCTTCCTACAGTCTTGCTTTCCTGATATATAAAATGGGTGGTGGGGTAGTGATTATAACTAACTGGTAGAATTGTTTTCAATTTCATGATAAGTGTTATTAAGTTACGTACATAGCTTGGAGACAACCTAAAATGTAATCTCAGTAAATATTCGCTACCATGCTCATTACTCCCATTTGTCCAGCTGGCAAATGGGAGATTGTTTAGCACGGGGAGTTTAGCTCTCCTTTGGTTCTTTTCCCCCTCTTTCCACGTCATGAGTTCTATAAAATAATTTGCTCCAAGCAACATAGCAAGCCTCATTCTGTCACTGTGCTGCTGCATGTAGCTTCATTTGCGTAGGATGCTCTTAAATCCAGTCTCCACCTAATGAGCTCTTTTCTGTGATTAAAACTGAGCCGGAGGGTTACTTTCTAGTTTTATAGTCCCATCCTTCCTCTCATCATGGCAACCTAGACCCTATGACCTAACATGTTTCTGTGACAACTTATACATCCCTCTATCAGAGCAGTACCCACGTTGGACTGTTTCCTTTGTGTCTAAATTGCTTCTCTATTTTACTATGAGTGGTTTTGAGAACAAAGATCATAGCCAGCGTTCCAACTATAATGCTAGCCCAAGCCCAAAATGTATCTGGAATTTAGTTGAACCTATGAACAAATTAGTGAGAGAAAATGAATGAATGTTTATACCAACTGGAACCAAAAGCTACAAGATGACACGATTGGGAACTTTTGCTCATACTCATAGTGCCTAGAAATAGCCTCACAGGAAACAAGATTCTTTGATGAGTAACCAAAAGAAATTCTATGTACACAGACCTTTCTAGACCCATCAGCATGCACTCTCTAGGGAATATACAAGAGCAGCTATGTCCTGTACGCATATACAGTACACATATGTCCTCCGCTGCTGGCCTTCAGAGTGCAACAACTCTGGGTTTGTGCATACATGCACACACAAGTTCCCTTATGATCTCCTATATTTCTGCCTTCAGATCGATTTTCAGTCCCCTCCTGTTCAAATTAGTTATGGTCCTCTTAATGTTTTGGTCTACTCATCAAGAGCCAATCGACCTTGAGAGTTGCCTCACAGACTTGCTTTTTGTTAGTTTTCAGTGAGTGAGGTGTTTGTTTAGTTGTTTGTTCTGTTTGTAGCGGGTTTGAATACAGGCATGTAGCTGTCTACTTGAATATATTCCGGAGGCATTCAGATCTTCATCAGACTTCTTGGAAATATAATATAACAAAAGATACGAGTTATCTAATGACAGCAGGGGGAGGTTACATAAGGTTACTCCCATGCTTCCTTGCAATAAAAGGAGCTGAACTAGAGAAAGAAAATAAAATCTGTTATAATGGCTTGTTTTGACTGCCCTGAGAATTCTGTTTCAAAAGCTACTTACAAGTTAAAAGGAGGTCAATACTTTTATCCACTCAAGAATGCAGCCTGTGGACTCTCTCAAAGGCTTCAGCTGAATAAATTCTTGGTCTAGGTGCCTGGGACTGTGATGCTGTGTGATAAACTGACAATTACAATAGGCAAAGTTTGATTTTAGCAATTGTTTTAGCACCAAACATTGGGAATGACTTTAAAATCTGTTACTCGCTTTTATTCTAAATCATGTATGTGTGGGAAAGGAGTGGGGATAGAAGGTGGGGGTAGTTAAGAGTCTAAAAATTTCATTTAATATCAACATTCTTTTGATTGGGGACCCATGTTGACCTCATCTCTGAAAACACTTCATAATAAAGAGCGAAGGCTTTCAAACAGCTCAATGGTAAATGGTTTAGCAATAGTGGAGATGGTGCCTTCCCCTATAATCAGATTAGTTATTACCCTAATTGTCATCATAGAACCTACATCCAGTAACATATGTTCTCTTTTTACCAAACTCCAAATAGGCTGTGCTGGCATTCACTCCGTCCGTACATTTATCTGTTCACTTGTTTCTTTACTGACATAGTTGTTTGAACTAAGACCCTCTTCTAGGCCCTGGAGACACAGCACTGGTCCTGCAATGGAGTGTCTAAGCTTTCATGGAGTTGGCATAGATGGAGGAAAATATGAGCAGTGAGCCAGTAAATGAACATGAAAACTTTAAAGTTTTAAGTTGTGGTGGTTTGAATATGTTCCCCTCAAAGGGCACATATCGGAGGCTTAGTCTTTAAAGTCACATGTTACTTGGGGGTGGAGCCTTTGGGAGGTAATTAGGATTAAATAATGTCATTAAAATTGAAGGAAGTATCTTAGTGGTTCTTTAAGAAAAAATAAAACAAAACAGAGTTGGGGAAATAGTTCAGTAGAAGTGCTTGCTTTGCAAGCATGAAGACCTGAATTTCATTCCCAGAATCCACATAAAAAATAAACACACACTCTGGTGTTAGAATACATGCTTGTAATCCCAGCACTGTGGAGGTAAAGGTAAGAGGACCCCTGGAACTTGATATTCAAACCTAGTAATAGTCTAGCCTAAAAGTAAGTGAGCCCGAGTTCTCAATGAGAGGCCTTATCTAACAAACAAACAAACCCAAGGTGAATGGCATCTAAAGAACTCCCGAAGTTGACTCTGGCCTCTACATGCACATACACGCACACACACATACACACACACACACACACACACACACACACACACACAAATAAATAAAGGGGCTTCTGAGCTAGCTTGCAATGCCTTTTGCATGCCACAATGCAGCAAGATGGCCCTCCCCTAATGCTAAATAGATGCCCACATCATGGTCTTAGACTTCTCAGCCTCTAGAAAATGACTAATTAAGCTAAGTAAACTTCTATTCTTTATGAATTACCTTGCATGGTTCAATTATAGCAATAGAAAACAAATAAAGAGGTAAGTGCTTGGAAAAAACTTGTCAAGTCAGATATGCTTCCAAAGTACTCTTGGGTTTTCTATCTTAACAGATTTCATACCGATCAATTAATAACCTAAGTCCCAAACCTTGGAAGTATCCCTGATTCATGTCTCTCATTTATCCTATACTTTCAACTGTTAGTTGCCAAAACATGTAGATTTCAACTCTGAATAGCTTTTAAATCGAACAGGTTTTTTATTTTTCTATCTGGTGGCACTTCATGCTGAGTCATTATTTGCTTAAATTTCTTCAGTATTCCTGATAGGTTGATGGAGGAGGGTCTATGTTTTACTTTCATTGGTTAATAAAGAAACTACCTTGGCTCTGATAGGACAGAAAATTAGGTAGGCAGAGTAGACAGAACAGAATGTTGGGAGAAAGAAGCAGAGTAAAACAGTCACCATAGCTCTCCTCTCCAAGATGGATGCAGGTTAAGATCTTACCGGTAAACCACCACCTCGTGGTGCTACACAGATTATTAGATATGGGTTAATCAAGATGTGAGAGTTAGCCATTAAGAGGCTAGAGCTAATGGGCCAAGCAGTGTTTAAAAGAATGCAGTTTCCGTGTAATTATTTTGTGTAAAGCTAGCCATGCAGGAGCCTGGCGGCAGGAAGAGGCCCGCTGCTCCACACTACGACAGGTCTCCCTCTCTGTTATAGTCTCTTCCTTTATATCATTTCCCAATTCAGAATACCCCATCAGTTTCTCTAGTCATATTCCATCTCCTTAGCGTGAACCACATCCTATTTCACCTTCTACATCCAGTGCCTGGAATAGTACCGCTGTTCCTATCACTCATTTTCAGTAAATAAGTGAACCAATGAATAGATGACACCAGCACAGGGCTTGATTGGTAGTCTTAGCTCTTTTTCTCTGTAGTCTCTGACCCTACAGTTTTCTCTCAGTCAGATTTGCAGATGGCCATGGATTTATAGCTTGTGCTAGCCCTTGAAGTATCCTTAATGCTCACTTCACTGATAGAGAATTTCCCTATTTATTTGCTGTTGAGACAAGGTCTTATGTAGCTCAAGCTGGGTGTAAACTTATGATGTAACTGAGTCTATCCTTAAACTGCCTCCACCTCATGCTACATCCTCATGCCAATACCTTTCCTATAATGACTCATAGTTTCTTAAAATGATTACATTGAGAAGGTATGCAAAACCCTAAAAGCAAAAATAACCCCTATTATGCCTTATTTCACTGCTGAAGTTCCCCAGATTTGGAGGAGTAATTAGTACATGAATAGTCTTCCTATTTGCAGCGAAGTCTTTTCAGAATACAAAATACAGGTGGGGGCCTTGTTTTTCTTGTTGTTTTAATGAAATGGACTCATGCACAAACAAATCTTATCAGCTGTGATGCTCATTATACTATGAACTACTAGATACTATTATTGACAGCCCAGTATTGATACTGATGTGTCACAAGACTGAGGACAAATTCCTGAATGCCACCATCCCAGACAGCACACAATAGCAATCTGATGCAGTGCCCAGTCCTGAGGTTTGGCTGTCACACTTTCTCATTTCACATTGTTTCTTGTTATACTGGCAGCAGCTCTCTGTTCCTAGGGCCCTTGGTGTAGCTGGCTCCAGCCTGCCACCCTCCCTAGAAGGATCAGAGACATATCTCCTTTAACCCAAAATCTAGCAGGAGGGGATCCCCCAAGCTGCCTCTCAGACTATAGACCTGGCCTCCTATGAGGTCTTTAGAAACTCTCTGAGAAAAGAAAGTCGCTTCTTTGAAGGGGAATTCTGTTGGGACATGGGACATGTGCCAAGTTGCTCCCAGCCCATACACACGGGAATGCATCCAGTTCTCACCCACCACTAGATCACACTTCCTAACTGCACAGGTCTGCATCTCTCTAGCTGTGTCAGGCCCTAGCTGGGGCAGTAGAAGAATCCCTTACTTGCATTCAACAGAGTTCGGATCTTCTTTTCTTCTTCAGCTTCTTGAAGCACCTTTTCAGCCAGTGTCTTCTCCTCTGATTCGATACATATGTCGGCTTCCCGGAGGTATTCCAGGTAGTCAATCTCCCGCTGGGCACGCTCTACTCTTAGTGCCAGGTTATCAACTGCACTCTTATATTCACTGGTGTGGGTCTGACACCTCCCCAGCATCATGGATATGTTTTTTGAGAATTCCTGGAACTCTTGAATGTATGCCCTTGTGGTTTGGGTACATTTTTCCAGCCTTTGCTTCAAACAGGAAATAAATTACCAAATTACTGTAAATCATTTTAATTATTCAAGTAAAACAAATAGCTATTATTTACAGAAAAAATTATTAGAAAAGTATAATCAAAAGGCAGTTAATAACCCATAATCCTAAATTTATACATACTACTGACATTTAGTATAGTAGTTTTTTCCAATGTATTTTATAATACATATAAATATATATTTACATGTGATTTTGCTAAATATCTGCTTATTTAAATTGCTGGTATATTGTTGACATTTAAATATCATTATTATATTATTATAAATATGTTACATTATTATGTATTATCATAATAACACACTATAAGTTTTTTGTGTTGACCATGTTTTTTCTAATTAACAAATGAAACTCCTATGTAATTGTTGTACATTGATATTTTGATGTAAAATGGTTAAATCAAGCAAGTTAACATATGTATTATTTTACAAATTTACCTTTGAGGTGGTAAAAATCTTTTCTTTCAATATCCAGGTATGCAGTATAATGCTGTGTTCTATGGTAATGATAGGTACAACAGATATTTTGGACTTATTCTTTCTTGTGTGTGTGTGTATGTGTGTGTCTATGTGCACATGCAGGTGTACATGTGGAGGTCACAGGACAATATCAGGTGCCTTTCATAACTGTTTGAACCGCTTATGTTTTGAGGCAGTGTCTCTCATTGAATCTGAAGCTCACTAACTGTCTAGACTGCCTAGTCAGCAAGCTCCAGAGAACTGCCTGCTTCTGCTTCCACAGCACTGGACTTACAGATAGACATTGCCGCATCTTACTTTTTTACCTGGGTACTGGTGATCTGAACTCAAGTCCTCAGGCTAAGGCAGCACACTGTACTACCACAGAACTGATTCTAGTTGAAACTTTGTATTCTTTGATCAATATTTCCTCATTGCTCAGTCTTCCCTGTTTTTATGAGCTCAACTTCTTTAGGCTAAATGAATAGTGAAATCATTCATTTAGTGTTTATCTTCTCGTGACCGGCTTATTTCACTTAGCAGAAGATCTCACAAGTCCATCTACAGTGTCACATATGAGTTTCATTTGAAAGACTGAACAACATTGTGTACATTTTCTTTATCCATATGTAGCATAATTTTAATAAGATGCAAGATTTTTATTAAATTGAAATCCCATTGTTTGTTCCATTAAACTCATTTAAAGAAACATTTAATTTTCTTTTTTTTCATTCAATGTTAAGATTAAAAACTATGTGTTTATATTTTTATGTCCTTAGTTATTTTCTTAGGCTAGATGCCAAGAAATAGATGCGTTCCCTTACATCTGGCATGAGCTAAGATAGAGAATGCTCAATGACTATTAGGTGAATGGAAGGGTAAATGAGTGGAAATGGGGTTGATGGGTCATGGTAGTTAAAGCTCACTTGGCAACATTGACTAAAACTTTCTTCATAAATGGAAAACTTCTTACTCTAAACATAATTGTGTAGGGCACTTCACTTGGAAGAGAAAGAGCTAGAGACATGAAAAGCAGCAGCAGCAGTAGCACATGCACACACACACACATACACACACATGCATGCACACACATGCACACAAACACACATGCATACATACACATGCACATACACAGACAGAGAGAAATAGAGACAGAGAAGGGAAAGAATGGATATTAATAACTCTCAATACCTATTTTCCCTTTCCTATTCTCCCACATGCCCCTCTCAGGACAGGACCTGTAACCCTGAGTTGTCAAGCTTCTGTATTAGCCAGCAGTGCCTGCCACCTGGGACCTGAGTCACCTGCAGGTCAGTACCTAGTGGTCAGAGGACATATCTTTTGAACATATCTAAGTATCTACAAAGCATACCCGATCTTCCAAATCCACACTCAGAGTCGTGAATATCTTACTCTGTGTGTTATTCCTTTGTCTGTAGACAAACTCTCACAGTACTGAGGGACAACGAGAGAAGTTTAGCTGGTGCCAAAGCCTGAGCAGATTTTGGCATTTTAAGCAGGTGAGGTTGGTGGCATGTCCAGGAAGGGAGCAGAGGAGCAGTAAGAGGCCTGAAGCCTGGGAATGCTTCATCCACAGCTTCCAGGCCCTGGCCTCCTTGCCAGAAATGCAAGGAAGTGTGTTTGGATTGCTCTGTGGACTTATTTTACTGACTATAGCTAGGTGGCACCATCGTTTGGATTTACAGATTTTTTTTTTTAAAGGAAAACATAGAAAATGTTTGAGATAAGAGTGTCCTTGAAAGAAGATGCATAATATGCAAGTTTAGTTTGCATAAGAGCCAGACGTTCTAAAGTGGAAGGCTATATTTGTCCCTGAGAACCTTACTGTCCTAAAAAAAACACTGAATTTTGTTCATTCATTTTTGTTTTAAAATGGGAATCTACGTAGTCTAAACTGGCTTCAGACTTTCTATGTAGCCAAAGATGACTCTGAACTCCTTGATCCTCTTGCCTCCTTATCCCAAGTGCTAAGATAACAGGTACATGGCAACAACACATCTGGCTATGCCGTGCTAGGCACTGAACATAGTGCTAGGCTCTGTGCATACTCGGCTAACACTCTACCAACTGAACCACAATCCCAACCCTAGTTTTTTGCCTTTTCTAATAAGGTGAAAGATCAAATGTGTTCTCTCTGTTTAACATTGCCGAAAAATCTCATTTTTAATTCTAAATCCAGTTAAGATTAAAAAGCAAAATTCACGATAAACCGCTGTACTACTGCATTTTTTTCTGTACTACTGCATTTTATAGTCACCTAACAGTTTATTATGAAAAGGAAAAAGGAAAAGCTGGAGACAGTTAGTAACCCAATATAATAAAATATGAAAAATGTGACTACAGTTATAATTCCATACTTTGAAGACTGAATTGTTGGGTTTTAAATATTCAACAACCTGGAAATTTACTCAGTGGATCAGGCCATGTTTTTTTTTTTTTTTCAGGCCATGTTTTGAGTACAGATTAATGACCGAAAATAAAACACTCCCAGTTTCTCAAAGTTGAAATCTCTTCATTAAATCTTCAGAACATTTTCTGAAGTTAAATTCTATCTCTATGTTCATGTAATAGGTGAGAAAAACTTTGCCAGGGCAAAGTGTAGAGTGAAGCCTTGCTCAAAGTCTAGTGATACAGCGGTCTGGACTGGAAGTGGTATCACGGCTATGCACATCTGTAAATGTAATTAGACCAGTGATTCACTCTGTATCTGGAAGACATGCGTCCTAGCTGACAGGAAAGTGCGGCACAACAGAGTGACTTCCAAGAGGCATAGTCCCAGTGAAGGGAACACACGTCACCTACCTCCAAGACTTGGAAGCGCTGGTAGATGTAGTGCACCATAGCTGGGTCCTGGGCATGTTGTGGTGGGGGCAGGAATGCTGCAAGGAAGAGAACCAGTGAACAAGGTCCCCGGAGAGCCACCATCATCCTGCAAACTCCACAGCAGCACAATTTCTTACACTTTGGCTCTTTACAGAGACTCAAGGGTCCAGGTAGTGATCTCTGGTTTTCTCTCTGCTGCTGTGGCAATCCCTTGGAAAACAACGCTTTGCACAGCCAGGGAACAAAGTCTGCTTGTTATTCTATGCAGTGCATGAGCTGTGTCTCAGGCTGGTGATCAAGTCCAGCTGTTGGCAAGTCAGTCCCTGGAGGCCTTGCTTGCTCAGTTGGTGCAGAGAGCTCCCTGGGTCCAGCATCTGCTGCCCTCAGCTTGGACGTGCACAGACCCCATCCAGGCTAGCGGCTACATAATGCTTCCAGGTCTGGAGTGTATGGATTGGGGTAGGGCTGAGGAGGTCTTTCCTCCCCTCCAACCCCCAGATTTTTTAATTTTGTTTTCCTCCTCCCTAATGGGCCGCACAGTCCAATCATAGGCCTAGCTCAACACAGGCCACCCCCTAGTTCTCAGCTTTGGAATTTCAGTTCAGTTTCTGGCAGAAATTCCTAGGATCCTTTTCCAAGAAGTTCTGTTAGGAGACCCCACCTCTCTTTCCAGACTTCTCTTGCATTCTGGTGGTTCTTAAAGGCATAGCAAGGAAATGTGAACACTAATCTATACTGTCTTGGAAAAGCCAGTGTACAGGGCTGGCTGCATTGCTCTGGGCAGAGAGGTGCAGTAGGCCCCAGGCTTGGCTACTCAGGCTGATAGCAGAGAATTGTCAGGGTTGAACTTAGAAGAACTTTTCTTCTTTTTGCTTTTAAATTTATTTTTTAATTTATGTGTATGTATATTCATGTGAGTGTAGGGGCCCACAGGGGCCAGAAGGTGGTACCAGAGATCCCTTGGGGTTGGAGTTATAAGTTGTCTCAGGTGGGTGCTGGGAACTGAACTCTTCAAGAATAGCAAGCGCTCTTAATTACGGAGCCATCTCCCTAGCCCAAGAAGACCCATTGGTGATTCAGGTGAGAACTGTTCAATTTCCATATGTTTGTGGGCTTTGTAAAATTAGTGTTGGTGTCTACAGAGTGAGTTCAGAACAGCCAAAGATACACAGAAAAAAACCTATCCCAAAAATCCCAAAAATAAAAATAAAAATAAAAGAAATAGAGTGAAAAATACATAGAGAGTCTGGATACTGTATGTTATTGTGTTGTCTTTGAATTGTTTAACAGCTGAGGAAGGAGCAGCAGCTGCTAAAAGGCATTTGATTATAAATGCTGCTAGATTAATCCAATTTATATATTTTGAAAATGGCTTGACTTCAAAATTTAAGTCAAAAGGTATGTTCTTTTGGAGAGGAGGTTTTGCTTTTGTTTCCACAGGAAATGAGAGGCTGTGGATTCATTCTGGGTTAAGAAAAACAAGGTTTGATCAAGGAAGACCCCTGAAAAATCTCTGTGTAGTGTTTTTTTTTTTTTAATCTAACCTCTGATCTTGACTTTCACTCTAAGATTGTGATTGAGGATAGTGACCAAGTACTGTGACCCACCTTCTTCCTTCTGCTTTCTGCTACTGTGTTGGACAACTCTGAGAAAGTCTGTGAGGAGGAGAATCTACCTATCAAGGAAGCAGAATCCAGCTCAGCAGAATCCACTAGGGTGACAGGGATTCCTGATTTATATTTGAGTGGGGAAGTCTTTTGCTTTCTTTTCTCTCGTTTATGATTCCTTTCTTTTTTCCCCCAGCCTTACCCCAGCTGCCCACCCCCACCTAATAGCTATTAATGCCTTGCACAAATCTTTCAACCTCTTACAAGTAATTGCCTTGTTTCCTGCATGAGTGATTGCAGAGGCCTCTAATTCCCTGTGTTCATCTCTAGATAAAGCATTGACTGATTTACGGCAAATGAAAGAATCTCTTTAGAACACGACCTTAGCCAACCTTTCTTACTTCAGCTTCTAGCACTGCCACCTTCTGCCTCCACAAGAGCCAGGTCTAACTGTCTCCGAACTTCACCACAAAAATTAACAAAGTGGTGGTTTCTAGGCTTGAATTGGAGGAGGGGGTGGGAGGAGGTACAACCTAGACTATTTTCTCCCATTGATACTACAAGTTCTTGTCCATCCTCTTTCAGGTCTTCCCACCACCTGACTGCCACCCAGGCAGAATAGCCCCCCTCCTCATCTGTTCTAAAACACTTGTGATTCTGAATTCTGGGAATTTGAGGGGAAGGTTCTTCTAGACATGGGTTCTCTGGTGGAGAGGCATGGGTGGTCAGCCTGTGAGGCAGTGAATGTGGGAAGAGGAAACAATGTATCATTTTTATGAGCTGAACTACTCCCTAGATTTCTGTATGTATCCTAGTTAGTGTGATCTCAGAATGTAACTATATTTAGACACCAAGGTGTTATATTTGGAGATAGAGGTGGTTACCTGAGAGTCAGTTCCTGAGGTCTATTCTAAACCTGTCAACTTGATGTCACTACAGAAAGAGCAAATTTAGATATAGGTACAGATACAGATAAGAGACTGAGCAGGGAAACAGTAAGGAGAGCCTCTGCAAGCTGAGGAGAGTGGCCCGACAGAGCCAGAGATATGGACACTTTGATCTTGGCCTTTCAGCCTTTGGAACCAAGAGAAATTAAATATGTATTATCTAAGTCATCTGGTCTGTGGTATTTTGTTCTAGAAACCCATGGCAACTAATGTAAGCACTGACTTGTAAAATACCCTGAGAGTCTAATGATGGAGTACAGGGCGTTATTGGTCAGAAATGAATTGACAAGCGGACTTCCTGGGTGAGATACTGTTGAGCCCCAATTCCAACCTTCTCAGCGGACATCTGTGCTTGGATATTTGCTTAATACCACAGATGTGACCTGTTTTCACCTATCTTTTTCAACAAACTTCCTTTAGAACTATTTCTTTAAGCAACAGTGTCATAATGTATCACTAACAAATGCAGAAATGGAGGCATAATCCTGGATTTTATTTATTTAGTCAGTCATCAAAAATTAAACTTGCCACATATATGTGTATATATATATACATATACTATACATATACGTACACACACACATATGTCCCCTTCTTTTTTATCCTGCTAATGCTAATTTCACACTTAATGGCATTTCCTACTTTTTCATTTGTTTAGAAAATATTTTTTGCTACCTATTTGTGTTCTAGGTATTTGACTATACTTTAGGGATGTAATGACAGACATGGTAGAAAAATTTTTTGTCCTAATAGGTGAGTTCGTAAGTACAGTGTGCCATATTTGTTATAATTCCATAGTTGTAAGGACAGCACCAAGTAGGGCTCTGTGAATCTCAAAGGATGACTTCTCAAAAAAAGTAAATCTTAATTGAGACCCAAAGGATGCATAGAAATGAACTCTACAAAGTGGATAATGGGAGGAGAAGTAGAAAATGTCCCGAAGGTAGAAGCATCATTTCATGCAAAGGACAATGACCTAGAGAGATCTTAGTGACTTGGGGAGCTAATGCAAAGATGCATCCTGGCATTCCTATAGGGCTAGAATGGTGTACTTTAGAGTTCTCAGGGACAGACTCTGAGGCCAATTCACACACAAGATGTCTCTGAAGGTGTGCTTTTTTGGAACAATCCTATGAGGGAGGAAGGGAAGAAGACCAGGCAGAGAGAGAAGTTGAATTATAATACCATTGCAATACAAGTCTCAACTGATTCCACAAGGAGGTTGGAGTCTGGGTGAGCTATTTTAATTCTGCATTTCGTTGCTGTGAGAACAATGCCTGACAATAGCATCTTAAGGAAAGACAAGTTCACTTTGCTTCACTGTTTGACGTACAGGGGAGTAAGGATGGTGAGAGCATGAGGCAGCTGGTCACATTGCATCAGCAGTCAGGACACAGAGACGGGTGCTGGTGCTTAATCGCATTCTCCTTTTTATTCAGTCCAGTAACCCAGCCTATTCAGGGTGACTCTTTCCACCTCACCTAAACCTTTCTGAAAACATTTTCCTAGACCTCTAGAGGTATGTTTCCATGGTAATTCTGAACCTAATGAAGTTGACAGTGTAGATTAGTCATTGACAAGAGCCCATTAGGTATACCCTAAACTGAGGCAAGAGGTCCTTGCCCTGACAGTCCAACACCAATCAATTCCTTGATTAGACAGCTTCTTTAGCCTCAGGACAAATCCCACAGAATGCCTCAGCAGGGAGCTGGGAGTGGTTAACACTCAAGAGCTGCACAGATGAGTATCCTTGTTTTTAGTAGTAAATTTAGGCCATGTATCGATGACTCCTTCAGCATCATAAGGAGAACCCGGACACTGCCAACTATAGAGGACAGGGTGGACATTGTAGGAGTCATCATAAGAATAATAAGAGAGCCATAGAATTCAAAGTGAGTAACCAAGTAGACTTGTGTTTTAAGGTGACCCCTCTTTGGAGGCCAGGTGAAGGTTAGATTGGAGAGATCCAAGACTAAATTCAAGGCACAAGATGGATTATAAGGTCACTGCAGAGATTTGTGGGAGAATATGAGAGTTAGAATAGTGTCAGTGCAGGAGGTCCTAAATGGGTGTTGTTTGTATATAGCATGTAGAATTGACAGAACCTAGGTATGGATTAAGTGAATCAGTGGCACGCAAACGATGGAGTCTAGCTGATGGTCAGCCCCCACTCTGACCCCTTCTAGCTATTGTTTACACTGTAGCCATGGTGATGAGCTAATGCGCCAACTTACTATGCAATTTTCCTGCTTAGGAGCCTTGATTATCTGCCAATTCTTTCCCAATAAAGTCAACATTCCTCAGATTCAGTGAAATCTTTGCAAGTAAACTAGATCGTAGCTGAGACTTACGGGAGTAACTAGCTGGTTTTAAAAGGGAGAGGGAATATGTATGGGATATACATCCCAGTGGAGGGGGACCCCTATATTCAGTTCCATTTAATGCAGTCTTGGCTAGTAGGCTTCCCTTGAGGACTGGGCACTCTTTCCAGATCCACTGTCTGAGATGCTGCCCTGCCCTTGCCACATGTCTCCTGCTCAGTCTTGAAGCCCTGTTTGAACACCACACTCTCGCCTGGACTAACCCCTTTCTTCATGGGCTGGACTCAGACTTCCTTCTGGAACTGACTCTTCATGCATGTCACAATTTCTTTAACTATGTGTCACAACATCAGTGAGGTTCACATTACTAGATATGGGGGAGGTGAAAAGTTTGGCAATGGTAATAAGTTTGGAATACTCCGACTCCTCTTTTTGCCAAGGTGGCGCAGAAAGCAAAGAAGAAAGCCCCTGCCCCTCCCAAAGCCGAATCCAAAGTGAAGGCCTTGAAAGCCAAAAAACAGTGCTGAAAGATATCCACACCCATGTCACCCGCCTTCCAGTGCCCCAAGACCCTGAGGCTCAGGAGGTAGGCCTAATACGCTTGAAAGAG